ATGGTCAAATTTCTTCACCTTAGAAACAACAACAAAAAACCCTCTCCTGAATTCTCCTACCCCCAACAACTACTGACCTATTTTTCTTCCTCCTCTTCACAGCAAAACTGCTTGAAAATATTTCATTTCTTAATTTCTATTTCACTTGCCAACCTACTGCAATCTGGCTTTTACTTCCACAATGCCACAAAAAGGGCTTCCATTAAGATCATCCATGACTTTGGTGATAAATCCAATAGACATTCTCAGCTCTTCAGCCATTTGTGCATGCTTGCCATTATCAATTACTTCCTTTTGAGATACTCTTCTCTCCTTCAAACTCTACTCTTAGATTTTAAAACAACACGCACCTTATTTTTCTCTTCTCTAGCTGATCTTTCCTAGATTCTTTTGCAACCTTCTTTTCCTCAGCCTGTCCCTTAAAATTTCATTTTCTATATTGACAGCCTGAGTAATCTACAGACCAGCAACACTGGCATCATGTGGGATCCTGTAAGAAAAGCTGAATCTCTGGTCCCACCAGTGTCCTACATTTTAACAAGATGCCAGGTGATTCATACGTACATTAAAGTCTGAGACGCAATGGTCTACAGAATTCAGGCTGGGCCCACTCCGTTTCTCACGGTTCACTCCCACACTCCAACTACTATCCATGAGCCCATTAACTGTCAAACTTATTTCCAGTCTAGATTTCTAGGCATCAGATTGACACAGCCCTCTCCCACCTGCAAATCCTCATTTGTATGCCCTATAACAGTATCAAATTCAGTGTCCATGGCTGAGCCTATCATTTTCCTCCAACAAGTCTGATCCTTACATATAGGCATAAAAGAGTCATCACGAACACTGTACTCGTCCTTTCAGATAAAATAAATCACAAAATCATTTTGAGTCTACCTCCTAAATCACTTTATCCACTTCCATTTCCACTGCCAACCTGCTAATTCCTGTCATTTCTCACCTTAGTTACTGCAAGGGCTACTTAACTGGTCTCCCTGAACCAGGATTGCCTCTCCTCAATCCATTCCTTTTACTGCTACCAGAGTGAATTTAAACATTTAAAATCCAGTCATTTCATTTTTCTTTTAAAATGTTTTAATGGCTTGCTACAGTATTTAGACAAGTCAATATATCTCAAGGCCCTGCTTATTTTTCTAGCTCAGAGATTTTCAGATTGCTGTTTCTGAAATTATATTAAAGGATCATGACCAGGATTAATAAAAAGAGAGCAGATAAGTTAGAAAACAAACAAAAAACCTCAAAGCAATGTGCAGGAAATTAAATACTATTTTACGAAAGTTTTCGTCTAGTTATACATGTGTGTGTACTGGGTTGTACATTCAAATATATTCATTTCTTTTTGTGCAAAGAGGCCAACAAGTTTGAAATTGACTGCCTAACTTCATCTCACCACACTCTACATCCATGTTCTTACCTTTTTCAGTTTCTTGAAATGAACATATGCTTCCTTGATCTCTACGTTGTGGCACATGCTACTGCCTCTGCCTGGAATCTTTTGCCAAAATCCAAAACTTCAAACACACATATGTTCATTCACTTTGCTATCTTTCAAGTTTCAGCTTAAGGGTTACTGCCCTGAAAAATCTTCTAAATGCCTTGATCTGAGTTAGGTGATAGCCCATATTCTCTAGCCCATGTCTCTAATAGAAGACAATGATATTGTCTTGCTCCTAACACAACACAATCTCTGTAGAACCTATATCTATTTTATTTATTAATACAGTGCTTAAGATACTGTTACAAAAATAGAGTCCTCAATAAATATTTGTTGAAAGAGCATTTGTTCAAGATTGCATCATTACAATGCATTCATTTTTGGCCAGGTGCCATGGCTCATGCCTATAATCCCAGCACTTTGTGAGGCTGAGGCTTGTGGATCACCTGAGGTCAGGAGCTCAAGACCAGCCTGGCCAACATAGCAAAACATTGTCTCTACTAAAAATACAAAAATTAGCCAGGTGTGGTGGCATGCACCTGTAATCCCAGATACTCGGGAAGCAGAGGCTGCAGTGAGCTGAGATCATGCCACTGCACTCCAGCCTGGGCGACAGTGAGACTCCACCTTAAAAAAAAGCATTCATTTTGAAAATACAGGACATGACTTGAAAAGTAAAAGCTACCGAAATTCTGACTGGGAAGCAGTTACATCAGGCTAAGGGTGGTCAAAGGAAGAGTTGGGATGAGCCCATTGAAAAATATTCATATTTAAACAAGATGGAAAAGTACGTTTTAGATGAGAGAATGGTATGACACTGTAATAAAAAGTAAAAATAAAGTATGTTTACAAAAGCTGTAATTACACCAGCCTGGGGACATAGGCTCAGAGAAATGTGCATAGTGGTAAACTTGTTATGTTGAAGCCATTACTACCAAGATTTCCAGAAAACACATCAAGATGCAACTGAAATGTATTAGAATGAGACAGAAGTGACATGACTTCCAATCTCAAGTTGTGACTTAGGGAATGAAATGATCTAATTTTTCCTTAGAAAAGATCACCGTGGTGGCTCACACCTGTAATCCCAGCACTTTGGGAGGCCGAGGCGGGTGGATCACGAGGTCAAGAGATCGAGACCATCCTGGTCAACATGGTGAAACCCTGTCTCTACTAAAAATACAAAAAATTAGCTGGGCACGGTGGCACGTGCCTGTAATCCCAGCTACTCAGGAGGCTGAGGCAGGAGAATTGCCTGAACCCAAGAGGCGGAGGTTGCAGTGAGCGGAGATCACGCCATTGCACTCCAGCCTGGGTAACAAGAGCGAAACTCCATCTCAAAAAAAAAAGATCACCATAGGTAGCTCTGTAAAGCAAAGACAATGAAAAGCAGGAATGGAAGCTAGAAGACCAGTAAGAAGGCAAGAACAGAAAATAAACAGTGGCTTGATCTGTGTTAATTATTCTGGAGATAAGTGGTTAGATTTGGGATATATTAAGAAGGCAGAGCTTTGCTGAAATGAAGGGGAAGAAGCAAAGATAAATCCCACTTGGTCTGGCAAGTCAATAAATGGCCATGTCACCACTAAAAGGAGGATGGGAACGCAAGTAGAAATCAAAAGTTCCATTCATAACATCCACTACACAACTGGCTATACCCTTCATGTGGAAACAATAACGAAAAAGTTTTCCTGTTATTTAACTTTTCATCTGTTTAGGTATTATTTTCCCAGTTAGACTGTAAGCTCCTTGAATATCACGTCTTCAAGTTCCCAGAGTAACATGCATAAAACCTTGTTTGAAACAGAGCATAAATAAACAAAAGTTGATAAAGTTACTTAGACATGCCTATTCTGATTTTCAAAAGCCAGTTTGCTCAATGAAAAATTTGGGGCCGTAAAAGAAATGAATTTATTTATTAAAGAAAAGTTTAAGTCATGAAGATAAATGGATAAGGACCCTCAAACACCTGAATGAAGATGACATGGTTAAAAGAAATAAAAGAAATGGGATGGTTTAAAAATAGTAGCCTAGGCCCAGCGCGGTGGCTCACGTCGGTTATCTCAGAACTATGGAAGGCCATGGCGGGTGGATCATCTGAAGTCAGGAGTTAAAAACCAGCCTGGCCAACATAGTGAAACCCGGTCACTACTAAAAATACAAAAATTAGTCAGGGGGTGGTGGGGAACACCTGTAATCTCAGCTACTCGGGAGGCTGAGGCAAGAGAATCGCTTGAACCTGGGAAAGGGAGGTTGCAGTGAGCCGAAGTGGAGCCACTGCACTCCAGCCTGGGCGACAGAGTGAGATTTTGTCTCCAAAAAAAAAAAAAAGGCAGCCTAAATGATGATCGAATTACACTCTAGAATACATTTTATAAGGTGCTTTTAAAAAGGAAGTCACCAAAGGCCTATACTAAGAAAGCTCCCGCTTAATGATAAAATTTTTTATTAGAATGGGCCACTCGGAAAACTTTGTTTTCCTTTACTACAAATCTTTAGAACTTTATTCTACTTTTATTAGAAGGGGCCACTCGGAAAACTTTGTTTCCTTTACTACGGATCTTTAAATCAACTTGACAGTCACCTGAAGAGAGTAAGCCAAATCATCTCTGGAGATTCTTTTCACTTTCCTTTTCAAAGAGAACCTGATAATCAATAGAAACTTCCCCATCCCAACATAAAAAACAAAAACCTAGGTTTGTGGATAATTTTAACACTAATAATAAAAGCTAATTTTCTGAAAGATCCACATCCAAAATAGTTTGCCTGCGGCTGTTCCGCGCAAACCTATCTCTAAAATGTAGAAAGGTCATTATTTGCTTCTTTACCAGGCAAAGACCTTAAAGAGACAATTATTCTTCTAAGGGAAAGTAAGGCCGAGAGAGACGACAACGACACTCCTAATAGTTAATTTCGGCTGGAACACGAATTTAACACTTGCTTTGTCACAGTTCTCAAGTCCTTTAACCGAAGTGTATATTCAGCCTGCATAAATCCTGCCTGTTTTCGGTCAGATGCGCATGGTTAACATTAATCAGTACACCTGCTACAGGGAGCATAATATATTTGCGCCTCACTTACATTTCAGAAAGCACGTGCATCACTTAAGAAACAAAACCAGGAAAAAAAGGGGCAGCGGGAGAGGGAAAAAAACTTGTCCTGCCTCATCCCTTCGACTATCGAATCCGAGATTACCTCTTGCCTCTCCGCTTCCTTGTTCTTCTGTCCCTGTTTTCTTGCGTACCACAAGCCGATTTCGCGGCCTTTCAGGTGCCCGGGATGCCTATCCCTGCCGCCTCGACCACCCCCACCTCCGCCGCCGCCGCCACCTCCTCCGGAGCCTCGGCTCCCTCGGTGACCCCCTGCAGGACCCCCTCCACAGCCCCCACCGGAGCTGCGGGGTCCCCCATCACGGCCCCAGTTCTGATGGTAGTCATAGCTCATTGTCCTGGCTACAGCTGGAAATGGCGTCCGTGCCCGGAAACCACTGTACGTCCACTTCCGTTTTGCTTCCTTAGCGTAGCGCAAGAGGGCGGGCCATTTAGCGTCACAAGCAGCGGTTTCTGGTGACGTCACGGGGGGGACGACTCCGGTGGTCTGAAGGGTGGCAGGGATTAGGTTCTGTCAGAGTCCTGGAGTTGTTTACCTTTGTACCTCTGGAGCAGCAGCCAACCAAAGGTTCGTAGATTTTCTTTCCGTAGGCCCGACAAGTGAACCAATGGCTTTTGGCTTTACTTTGTTATTTCTCCTGATAAAATCCGCAGTTTTCTTCCACTTAGGTCCTAGGATAGGAAACATTGACTGAAACAAAAGAAGCCGGATGGGCGGTGTGGCTCACGCCGTAATCCCAGCACTTTGGGAGGCCGAGGCGGGCGGCTCATAAGTTCAGGAGTTGGAGACCAGCCTGGCCATCATGGTGAAACCCCGTCTCTACTAAAAATACAAAAATTAGCTGGGTGTGGTGGCGGGCGCCTGTAGTCTCAGCTACTTGAGAGGCTGAGGCAGGAGAGTCGCTTGAACTCAGGAGGCGGAGGTTGTAGTGAGCCGAGATTGCGCCACTGTGTGCTCCAGCCTGGGCGACAGAGCGAGACTCTCTGCCTCAACAAACAAACAAAAAAAGAACCCGTGGATAAATGCACCATTTTCTAAAAGTATCAAATGATTTCTTAAGTCTTGAGAACAGCCTGACGATCTTTCAGATATATAATTGAAAATACCCCTACCTCCTTGAAAGTATTGTTACTATTTACTTTGTTCATCCAATAGCATAAGATGAGTGTGTCTACCCAAATTCAGTGCAGAGCTCATAGGCAATGTAAATGAACTACTTTGAAGATTCATATGTTCATTTGAAGCTATATACCGTTTATTAACCAGGCCACTGAGTGTGCAAGCTGTTCTTGAATAATCAAGTAATTGGGCCACACAGGTTTGGATGTTCACCAGGAGATATCCATCTCATGTTACAGTTAACTGATGTGAAGGTGCTGGGAATACTTACTGAATAAAGCAAGTATGGCATGAGCTTTCATTTGCTTAGGGTCTTAAGGGAAAGACAAAGGCTATCTTTATGCAGTGAATTAAGGAAGGGAAATACCAGGAGGAGGTCTATAATACACCATTGTGGCCTAAAAATTATCTTGAGCAAAGACATTTGAGTTTCTGAAATCTATCTGTCTAAACACAGAACCACCCAAAAGAATTCAAATCAATATCCTCCCTGGGAGGGAAACCAGGGAAGACTGACGCTTATCACTGGTGGCTAGAAGTTGGCAACACACTTTAATAGACACTGTCACAACACTATCATATCTGGTATCTGTTTTAAGTTCCCATTTATTCTTACTAAAAGTCATTTGTTTTTTCCATAAGTGCTGTTTTCATCTTCCCTTTTTTTTTTTTGAGACGGAGTTTTGATTTTGTTACCCAGGCTGGAGTGCAATGGCGCAATCTTGGCTCACTGCAACCTTCACCTCCTGGATTCAGGTAATTCTCCTGCCTCAGCCTCCTGAGTAGCTGGGATTACAGGCACGCGCCACTGTGCCCAGCTAATTTTTTGTATTTTTAGTAGAGACGGGGTTTCACCATGTTGACCAGGATGGTCTAGATCTCTGGACCTCGTGATCCACCCGCCTCGGCCTCCCAAAGTGCTGTGATTACAGGCTTGAGCCACCGCCCCCAGCCTCGTCTTCCCTTTTTAAGATGGTAGATAAGCCCCAAACTCTGCCTCCCTGAATTACCTTTTTCTGTGAACTGTATTATGTATATCATTAAGTCTGTCTTTTCTGTTGCTAATCTGTTTTTTCTCTTTAACTCTGGGGCCTGCAAATATTGACTCTAAGAGGACAGACACAAAGTATTTCCTCCCTAACAGCCATGAGACATTAGAGCAAAAGAATTTAATTTTGGAGTTACGTGAGTTATGCAACAACTTTTTCGATAAGTAGACTTTTGCCAGACTAGTGGGTAAAAGAAAAGTATGACAGGTGAAAGGAACAATGTGTAAAGACAGATGATGATGTGAGACATTGGAGAGCTGAGACAACTACCCTGAAACTTAAAGACTGATGAGGAAGGCCAAAGAGGTAGATAGGGGTCTAATTATGGACAACCTTACATGCCACTTAAAGAACAGTGGTATGCTCTAAGCAGAGGAGTGATAATTTTGACTGCTTCAAGTGGAAATAGCGGAGACAAGAGTGAATACAGGGAAACTAGCTGTGTGATGTAGGGGAGAGAAAAATGGATGACAGGGTATTATGAATGGAAAGAATTGGAATCAGGAGACGTTGGAAGATAAAATTACTTAAATGTGATGATTCATTGAATGTAGAGAATTAGAAGGGCTAAATGACTTGAAGTTTATGATTTGAATTATTAACACGTGAGAAGGTACATTATATCCTGAGATGAGAAATAGAGGACAAGGAACATTTTGGGAATAAGGAGCAGGATCAGTTAATGTGCTTTATTTGTTCATGTAGAGTTTGAGGATCCTATGAAACATACAAATGGAATATCTGGAAAGCAGTTGGTTAAGAGTTAAAAGCACAGAGGCCGGGTGTGGTGGCTTATACCTGTAATCCCAGTACTTTGGGAGGCTGAAGTGGGCAGATCACTTGAGGCCAGAAGTTTGAGACCAGCCTGGCCAACATGGTGAGACCCTATCTCTACCAAAAATACAAAAATTAGCCAAGTATAATGCACGCCTGTAGTCCCAGCTACTCAGGAGGCTAAGGGAGGAGAATCGCTTGAACCCAGGAAGTGGAGATTGCAGTGAACCAAGATCGCGCCACCACATTCCAGCCTGGGCAACAGAGCTAGACTCTGTTTCAAAAAAAGAAAAAAAGAGAGAGAGTAGGCTGAAATTATACATTTTAGGAGTTCTTGGCAAATATGATTAAGGCCACAGGAATGAATAATTCCTATAAAAGTATTCCAGTTGGGTACTCCTGATATAAAAAGTATGTAAATTGTTTAATAGATGAGATCGAGTAGGCATATTGAAGATGATGGGGCAAAGTGGTAAGAAAATGGTGAGAGTGTTACAGGCTAAATCTTTGTGCTCTTGCAAAATTCATTATGAAGCCCTAACTCCCAGTGTGACTGTATTTAGAGATGAGGACTCTAAAAAATGTAATTAAAGCAAAATGAGATTATAAAGGTGAGATCCTGATCCAATAGGTTTAGTGCCCTTTTAAAAGAGACATCGGCTGGGTGTGGTGGCTCACGTCTGTAATCCCAGCACTTTAGGAGGCCAAAATGGGTGGATCACGAGGTCAGGAGATCGAGACCATCAACTAAAAATACAAAAAATTAGCTGGGTGTGGTGGCAGGCGTCTGTAATCCCAGCTACTGGGGGAGGCTGAGACAGGAGAATCGCTTGAACCCAGGAGGCGGAGGTTGCAGTGAGTCGCCACTGCACTCCAGTTCAGGCAATGATGGGAGACTCTGTCTCAGAGAAAAAAAAAGGCCATCAGAGAGCTTGTACCTGCCTCTCAGAGGAAAGGCCACGTGAGGACAAAACAGCCTCTACACTCCAGAAATAGCTCTGTAAACCAAAAATAAAATTCTCTCTTTTTTTTTTTTCTTTTAGATGGAGTCTCGCTCTGTTGCCCAGGCTGGAGTGCAGTGGCACAATCACGGCTCACTGCAGCCCCAACCTCCCTGGTTCAAGCGATCCTCTCACCTCAGCCCCCTAAAGTAGCTGGAACCATAGATGGGTACTGCCACATCCAGCTAATTTTAAAAAAATTTTGGCAGAGACGGGGTCTTCCTGTGTTGTCTGATCTGGTCTTGAACTTTTGGACTCAAAACAATTCTCTTGTCTCAGCTTCCCAAGGTGCTGCAATTACAGGTGTGAGCCACCACACCTGGCCCCAAAATAAAATTGGAAGCCCTCCCAACCAACTGAATGGACTCGTCCTCTCAGCCAAGAGCATTCTAAAGTAAACTTGAAATTCTAGTTCAGGCCATCATGGGAATAGGTGGTTGGATATGCCTCGTTATACCTTCCTTCCTTTGGAGTCAGGTATAGCTGACCAGCATTAACATTGAAGCAGAGACCTTAAGACTGACAGAACAGACTCTTTGTAGCAATATGATATCAAATAACAGTAGGCCCTGAAAGAAAGCATTTTCCTCCAAAATATATTTCTTTGACATATTTTGATAGCCCTTCAAAGCTGTCTCTTGTGGGGAAATCTACATTCTGTAGAGAATCTCTTTTCCTTTCCAAATCTCCCTGATCCATGAGAGAACTAAGAGTCTGGAACCTTTTTAAATTGGATAAGAAATATTTACAACACCTGGAGACCTTATCTGCATAATAAGAACCTTGGTCTCCATGACTCCTTATCTTAACCCAGACAGTCCCTTCTGTTGATCCCAGGTCTTTAGATAAACCCTTTATCAGTCAGAAAATCTTTGAATTCACCTATGACCGGGAAACCTCCTTGCTCTTTGAGTTGTCCCACATTTCCAGATGGAACCAGTGTACCTCTTACATGTATCAGTTGATGTCTTATGTCTCCCTAAAATATATACAACAAAGCTGTAGCCTGACCATCTTGAACACATGTTCTCAGCATCTCCTGGGACTGTGTCATGGGCCATGGTCATTGGTGTCTGACACAGAATAAATCTCTTCAGATGTTTTGGAGTTTGACGCTTCATTGATAGCCTTCATTAGGAACAGAATTAGCTGGCACCTTGGTCTTGAGCTTCCTTGTTTCCAGACTTTAAGAAACAAATGTTTGTTGTTTCAGCTGCCCAGGCTGTAGTATTTTGTTATGACAGCCCAAAAAGACTAATATAGAGAGTAAATGAGGAAGAGAATTAGTGTTTATTTGTCACTTAGCATTTGCATTTGCTAGGTATTGGACTAGGTGACAAGCATTTATGGTTGGCAGAATAATGGCCCCAAACGTGTCTATGTCTTTTTTTTTTTTTTTTTTTTTTTTGAGGTGGGCTCTCACTCTGCTGCCCAGAATGGAGTGCAGTGGCATGACCATGGCTTATTACAGCTTCCTCCTCCCAGACTCAAGCAATCCTTTCACCTCAGTCTTCCAAGTGGCTAGGACCGCAGGTATACACCACCATGCCTGGCTATTTTTTTATTATTATTATTTGTAGACATGGGATATTACTATGTTGCCGAGGCTCATCTTGAACTCCTG